TTTTTCTTCCAATGACCACCCCTAAAAGCAACCCTTCCAAACACTATAAGCACTTCAGAAAGACTATCGCTTTTTGTTTTCTGAAGTTAGAGCTATGTCGACACTGCCGTTTCAGGGCGGGGTCATTTTCAGGACTTTCGTCCCGGATTCAGCTTTTGGCACATATGCCATGTTGACCGCCATGGTCATTTTACCCTAAAACAGTTGAGATTACCTGTGCTAAATGAAACGCATACAAACTCATATACAGGTCCTAGACTAGTAAGAGTATCTATCATTCGGCGCACGAGGACTAGCTGGATCAACCATCAAACTTGCTTGTGCAGGGAATTTATACAGTGACATCTGCTCTTTTGCTTGTGGGACGTGAAATGATATACTGCGCATGCTTAACCACATTTTAAAGCGTATATAGTGCGCATACTCAAACTTGTGTTACGTCCCACAAGCGTAAGAGCTGTTTTGTGAAAACCTTCTCAATTATTTGACTAAATGCCTCGGTTCTCGGTAATTAACTCTTACATACAATAATATGACATTACATATACTACGTACCTTTCCACCCGCCTCTAGTAAAGCAGAGGTAATTGCATGACCGATCCCTCTTGCACCACCGGTAACAATTGCCTTGTAATCAGCCACTCCGCTCTTGTAATCAGCCATATGCTGTTTCAGTTCTGTTCGAATTCGTTATTATATATTTTCCAAACTTTTAAGTACGTATACCGGAAGGTACAACTAAATTATGCAAAATTATACTAGGAGTTACTATCGCAAGGGGAAGTGCTGCTGTTTGGCCATATAGAAGTTGCCATCATACTGACTGAACAGATGGCATGTTGTACACAGATCCGGTCACCACAATCGGTATCACTGATACTTCAAAATGAAATTGAAAACGTTCAACGCCGCGCAACCACTCCAGGGATATTCTATCATTATCATTCATTTCGGGATGTCATTATTTGTCACTATTTGAAGCTATATTTGTCACTTCTGAAGGTAAGATATAAACAAATGCATTGTGGTTGACAATGACTCTTTGAACTCTAAACCTTACATCTCTGACCTTACATCTTAAACTCTAAGCGTGCAAAGCATAATGGGAGCATCATTTAATTAGTTTAGAAATCATTATTGGGGCCCATTTCTCAGAGAGTATATATCCGGCCTTAAGAGAACAATTCATTTACACTGAATAGCTGCAATATTCAACTACTAAGCTTGCATGAACCGTGTGCTCCAATTACGCTTTGCGCCACGCTTATTAGTACTGTTGTGCTATATTATGCCATGCTGTCATATGTAAATATTTTGAAATTCTCAGTACAAAACTTTAGATAATTTTTAAAATACTCAATCAATATACTTCATTCAAACATCTTTAAACTCCTAGCTGGTTGTACAGTGTGTCCCAAAAAAGTACCCTTATAACAATAGAATACTTTCTATAGAGGGTACTTTTTTTTGGGACACACTGTATTGCGGTACAGATTATATAAGGTATGTAAAGGTTTGAGCAAGTTTTCACCAAATTTCCCACCGAAATTTGATGCCTACAGCCTAAACTAAATATTTAATATGTCTCGACTGACGTGCAAAGTCCATTCACTTTTCTTCATTTAAAAATTATTTTCTATCTTAACACGAGACACATTATATATTTGCATGCGAGAATTTTAATTTTAATTGAAATCATTTTATTTCAAACTCAAAGTTTGTCGATAAAAGGCAGTTCAGTTTTAAGAACATTTTGAAACGTTTTGCGAACTGTAATTTGTCATTGAATTTGACATCCCGCAAAACCATTGAAATAACGTATTGTTAAAATTTGAATGCCCTAGCACTAAGCTGAACCGCAAAGATGCGTAAAATATTGACAAGGGTGCATATATTAAATATTGACTTATTAAGAAATTAAAATATCTTTGTAAAGCGCACGATTTTCTGCTCTTGGGAATTTAGAACACGCAGCTCTTAACTCAAGGCCTGTTCATATGATCCCGCTTAGGGAGTGGTCATTATTTATGGGAAGGGGGGGGGGAGGGGGTGGGTAATGGGGAAAATAAGGATTGAAAACTTTTTTGACCCTCCTCCAGACTGAAGGCAAACTTTTTGTGCCTCCCCCCTCATAAAAGTAGAAACTTTTCTGACCCCCCCCCCCAGTGTGGATTGAAAAATTAACAGCAATGAAACAGGTGTGCGCAGTGCGTTGCAGGTAAAGTTAGATATTAGGACAATCTGTTTAATCTAGCTCATGATGTTTTACCCTGGTGAATATGATTCAGCCATATACGATTAAGGTTACAGGACACCCTTTTTGGCCTTTTGCGGAAAATCGCTACTGCGCGTTCAAAATCAGTCCGATTTTCATCAAATTTTCACCAAATGTTAGCCAGTGCATGCAAAATATAAAATTGACAAACAATAAAATAATGTAAGAATTATTCAGGAAATCTTAAGTCGCGGTACCTTAACTAACGCTTTTGAGTTATGTTCCTGCTGGTTTTAAGATATATTTATGAAAATATCATTTTTATACAGTAAAATAGTTGTTCTAAAAAATTGTGTTCGGAAATTTTTGTTTATTTCGTCATTCCGCTGATACGACGATTTCTTTGAAGACTGCAATATATTTCTGAATCGTTTGAGTGAATTGCTCCTTATTATTAAAATATCCAAAATTAGAAAAAATTCGAACACAATTTTGAAACTGACGTCTTTAGCTATGTCTTGTGAAAATTTGAGAAAAATTCGTTAAAACCCGCAGGAGCACAACTCGTTTAAAAATCAGTAATTGCCGTAAAATTCTTCGGGAGAAAATTGAATTTGAATATTACATTTTCAATGTTTTTCTAGACTGCGAGCAATCCCTCTATTTTCCTTCGTTTTATTGTTTCCCGGACTAAGATTGAACGCGCGGGAAAATGAGGGATTGCTCGCAGTCTAATGTTTTTCTAATTGCAAGCGAAATGTATTTTATTAAATAACTCCGCGAGTTTTCAACATTTTTCGTCCAAACTTGGTCAGATAGTAAAACTAGTCTAATGCTTTCATGGAAACCAATAAAAATATTTTAGGCAAAATTAACATTCAAAGGTGTTCTGTAACCTTAAAAAATATATATTTTGTGTTACTACTTTGCAATGAAACATTTGTCCTACCATAACCCTAACCCATGGCCCGTCTTCACACAGCGAAATGATTTAAACACAGGTTTTTTTTAAAAAACTTGTCTGAGGGTGGGCATCTACAAAAAGGGACCATACTATATTGAGTGTGGAGAGATGACAGATGGTTGTGGGTGACAAAAAGTTTGGTGTGGTATCGTATGTACTAGTAGTGGGGTCTGGGCCGGGGTATTCTCCCCCAGAATTTTTTTTGTATTTTTCCACCCCTAGAACTGAAATGTGAGCATTTTCTGAAACAGATTTTTGGATATACAGCGTTACATTGTGCGTTGATAGACCGAATCTGATCAGTTAGTGTACTTGCATGGCATGTTTATGTAAATACCACAACTGGGTCACTCAGGGGTAGAGAACTTGTTAAACTTAGTGGGCCCGGCTCCCACGATCGCGAGGCACTACTATGGTTGGCGCCGAGCAGGGAAATTTTGAAAATTTTGAGTCTCTAGATCGTTGGAAATAGCATTTTCAGAGTCTTCTTTTTTGCTATTTGTGATTATAGAAATCAGAACTCTAGACATGGTATTTAAGTTCAAAAACTTTTATGACCTCCCCCCCCCCTTTCTCTGTGTTAAAACTTTTTTGACCCCTCCTATTTATAAGGGTAAAACTTCGTTTGGCCCACCTCCCATTTCCTAACCCCCCCTCCCCATAAATAATGACCACTCCCTTACCGTGGCCGTCTCGCTTACCGATGATCTCGCCGCCTATCTATTTTCCTATAAAATTTTGCATTGTGTTCATATGAGAAAGCGAGCTGGCCCGCTTGGCGAGATCTCGTTTGAATTTGCCGAGATCATAGGTAGGCGGGATGAACATTTTTCCATATGAACACGCCAGCCCGCTTACCGGGATGACTTGGTTTTATGTTTGTTTTGTAAACGAATAAACAGACTGTTCCTTCATTATTTTTAACTAAGGGCTATGTTACACGGTGCAATTTTTCTTGCAACTTGTAACGCAATTCTACTCTTGAGAGATGTTAATTAGTGAAGTCAGTGAAGAATTTTCGATATGTTGAGAAAACATCAGCGGAGTGTGATGAAGACTCGTATTTGGCAATTTTACATCTCTCAAGAGTAGGATTCCATTGCAAGTTGCAAGGAAAATTGCACCGTGTAACATGGCCTTAATGCTTGTCACATTCTAAATAAAATGGACGAGCTTAGCTCAGTTGCGAAATTAATGATCCTGACCTTATATGTATTTCTGAGACCTGGTTAGATCCCAGCAAAAAACGATGGAGTTATATCTATTGGATCTAACCATACTCCGTACCGAAAAGATAAAGGAACACCTGGCGGCGGTTTAATTGCTTATGTTAAAACTGCAATACCTTCTATAGCCGCTTGTTTGACATGGAAGAGGAAGGCAAAGAGGCTCTGTGACTATTGTTGAAACCACAAAGACTTCCAAGGCCTTTCAGTTGCATTGTTATGGTTGCAGTCTATTATCCCCCAGGTCAAGCGGCTATAAATGAGATAACTATGATTGATTATCTTATTAATGAATCGACTTTATTCTACAAAGCTATCCCTCTGCTGGAATTATAATCGCTGGAGATTTAACAAAATGAAATTAGGAACATTATGTAATTGTTTTGATTTGAGGAAAATTGTTAAGAAACCAACTCGCCAGAACAATACTTTAGATCAGATAATGACTAATATGTCGCCACTGTTTCAAGAAGTGCAACATCTTCCTCCCTCAGGTCGATCGGATCACCCATGCCTCCTTTTGAATCCAAAACATCGGACGAGTACACGCCAAATAACTAAAACATTTCGATCGATAAATGTTCAAACTTAATAGCTCTCAAGCTAAGACTAAGCAGAAGTGTCTGGGATGCAGTATACGAAGCAGAAGACGTAGATGACAAAGTCTCAAGTTTCAATGGAGTTATTAGTCAAGCTCTAGACGGATGTATGCCTCTGAAATCCATACGCCTACATCCCACGGATAAACCTTGGATGACTCCGAACATTAAAGCAAAGATTAAGCTTAGACAACGGGCTTTTACTCGTGGCAACATGCCCCAGTATAATCTGCTAAGTGCACAAGTAGAAGATATGATTAGGAAAGCCAAATCAAATTACTATCAAAATAAAGCTAAAACATTCCGCACATCTGACCCTGCGAAATGGTACAAAGCAATTTATAATCTGTCCGGAGTAAGTAGTCAGCATGAAGGCCTAACAGTAAACTCCATGGGTAGCGAGGCCGCTTTAATAGCAGAAAAAATTCAAATATCCTTTACTGAACCATGGAAAGCCCTAATTATTACAACAAGTATTCTCCAACTAGATGAAGTTGAGTCACTTCTCAAAAACTATCCTCCCCCTCTACCTAGTATTGGCCAGATTAAGAGCGTCCTAAATCACCTTAACCACTCGAAAGCAATGGGAGCCGATGGTGTGCCAGCATGGTTACTTAAGGTTACAGGACACCCTTTTTGGCGTATTGCGGAAAATCGCTACTGCGCGCTCAATATCAGTCCGATTTTCATCAAATTTTCACCAAATGTTCTCCAGTGCATGTAAAATATGGTAAAGTTGTAAAATTAACAAACAATAAAATAATGTAAGAATTATTCAGGAAAATCTTAAATCGCGGTACCGTTACGCTTTTGAGTTATGTTCCTGCTGGTTTTAAGTTATATTTATGAAAATATCATTTTTATACAGTAAGATAGTTGTTCTAAAAAATTGTGTTCGGAAATTTTTGTTTATTTCGTCATTCCGCTGATATGGCGATTTCTTTGACGACTGCAATATATTTCTGAATTGTTTGAGTGAATTGCTCTTTATTTTTAAAATATCCAAAATTAAATAAAAGCCGAACACAATTTTGAAACTGACGTATTTAGCTATGTCCTGTAAAAATTTGAGAAAAATTGGTTAAAACCCGCAGGAGCATAACTCGTTTGAAAATCAGAATTACCGTAAAATTTTTCGTGAGAAAATTGAATTTGAATATTACATTTTCAATGTTTTTCTTATTGCAGCGAAATGTATTTTATTAAATAACTCTGCGAGTTTTCAACATTTTTCGTTCAAACTTGGTCAGATAGTAGAACTAGTCTAATGCTTTCATTGAAACCAATAAAATTTTTTTTGGCAAAATTAACACTCAAAGGTGTTCTGTAACCTTAAACGATTCTCTAGCGTTCTAGCGCCGATTGTTCATGACATCATTACGGCTAGCATTAAACGGTGTAAGTATCCAAGTCATTACAAACATGGCCTGGTTACACCTGTGCCTAAAGCATACCCACCAACTGACGTTAGTAACGATTTTAGACAAATCTCTGTTTTGCCACATATTGGGAAAATCCTAGAGAGAATACAACTACAACTCAATCAAAATGACATCATACTACGTCCCAGTCAACATGGTTTTACTAGTGGCCGCTCTACTACATCGGCTCTGATATCCATCACACAGCCATGGTTTAATGCTACTGACAATACCTGCCGTGACAAAGCAGGCATCCATGCCCTCTTTATCGACTTTAAAAAAGCCTTTGATCTAATTGATCATGGGATCCTGTTGAATAAACTTGCATTGATGAATGTTAATAAGAGCTTCTGGTTGTGGGTCAAAAGCTTCTTATATGGTAGAACTCAGCAGGTCAAGATAAATCAAACACTTTCATCGATCGAGGGTTGTCCAGCTGGTGTACCGCAAGGATCTGCTCTTTCGCCGACTTTATTTAATATCCACATTGACGACTTAGATACGAGTGTTCCTGAAGATCTTGAGGTGAGCACATATAAATATGCCGATGACTGCACACAAAGCAAATGCATCATGAAGGGAGAGTGTAGAAACATGCAGAAAGTCTTAAGACTCCGTTCAGAGCTGGTCAAACGCTAATAGAATGAAGTTGAACGCAAAGAAAACGAAAGATATGTGGATTTGCTTTGGGAAATCTATCCCACAGCCTCCCAATCTTTATATCGGGGATGTTATGATCGAAAGAGTTAATTTCATTCAAGTTACTTGGTGTTAGCTGTCAAAGTAACATGAAATGGAATTCTCACATCAAAGAAATTACTCGTAAGGGAAACAGGAGACTGTGTCATCTAAGGCAGTGACGGAAGGCTCACCTTCCTACTGAAGTAGGATTAGCAACTTACTGTACCAAAATTCGTCCACTGCTTGAATATGCCGCGCCAGTCTGGGGTGGCCTACCTCACTATTTAGTGAACGACCTTGAGCGTATTCAAATGAGAAGCTTACGTATTATTGGTTTACCGGTCGATACACTTCCCCCGCTTAGTGAGAGAAGAGATAAGCTAACTCTTCGAGAAATGGAGGCAATAGAGAGGTTAAGATACCCCGGTTCCGGTTTACGGGTACGAGTATCGCCATTTTGTTTACCAATTTTTGCTGATGTCAGCAATTTTACCCGTAATTTCTACCCGTTTCCCCGCGGTAAACCGGGGTCTACACGTAAACGACAAACGGGTACGGGTGGTTTCTGTTTACTATTTTTGGGCCGTTTAAATAGTACAAATTTTCAGCATCTTACCCCAATAAATAATGCACATATGCTGGTCAAAGTTTTCAACAATTTACGACGAACCTCAACAGCGAAAGTTGCCATTCTTTGATCGGTTTTCTCACGCCGGAGTATCTTGGATTTCTTAAGTTACAAGTTATTCCCCGATTTACGGGTACGGGTACGTGTATATCACCCGTACCCGTAAACCGGAATCGGGGTATCTTAACCTCTCTAATTACTCAGGACGTAAACCATCCCTGTCACCACCTTGTCCCTATCGCACAGAAGCATGGCTATTCCACTAGAACTAAAGAAAGAGGTTCTAATGTAGGTCGCATTATTTCCAGAACCGAAAGACATAAATAATCGTTTATGCCTCGTGCAGTTAAACTTTTTAATAATAAACTCTAAACTACTACTGTAATAGACGGCTCCAGGGACGCCGGAACTGGGGGCAGGGGGGGCGTCTGCCCCCCTTGCCTTTTACTAGGGGGGGGGGCAGGGGGGGCAGAAGTGCCCTTTTAGTTGTAAAATACTACGTGATAAATCACATTTCCAACGATGCTTTTTGTAGGGAAATCATGAGATTCAGGTAATTTATAGTTTATATTTATAAAAATTTTGGAAAATTTTTGGAATTTAGAAAAATATTTTGAAGAAATGGCGAAAATCTAAGATATGCGGAAAAATTTTTGACTTCACGGAAAATTTTGTTGTGTCCGGAAAATTTTTTTGACCCTTAAAATGGTACACTGACCGAAACTTTTTGACGACGGGGAGGGGGGAGGTCGCCAAAAAATTTCCCCGTATATTTTTGCTCTATAGAGGTGCCCTTGGTGTGCGTCCGCGCCCCCCTTTGCCTTATTATCGTTCCGGCGTCCCTGGACGGTTCTGTAATTTTAGGCTGAATGTAGGTTGCATTATTCTCTGAACTGAAGGACATAATCGTCGTCTGTGCCTTTGGCAACTGAACCTTTTTAATAATACAAATTTTTCTTGTAATATAGATGGTTTTATAATGTTTATGAATTTGTAAGTCCACTGTATTTTTTCACTTAAGATGGATTATTATTAAAGCTTTACATCACAAGTATTAAATATGCACCTGAAGCAATACTTTTTCTTGTAAATATTAAACGAAGAAAAAGACTAAAATCGCTAAGTATTTGTGTTGCTTGAATGAAATGTAGAAGTTTTGCATACGCTAATTATAGAACTACAATGTAATTTCACTAGGCAAGCAGGACGAAATATTCCATATGCATAAAGAAACCGTTATATAAAGGCTTGTTCATATGATCCTGCTTACCGGGGCGTCTCGCTTACCGAGACGAATATTTCCGTGCGTAAAATATTAAAATTTACTTATACGTCAAGCTTTGATGCACGTCTGGGTTCAGCATGGTGCTGAGGCATAACAATACGTTAATTATTTCAATATTTTTCGGGTTTCTTGGGATACCTGTATGTTTGGGAAATTGATAATTTTGTAATTAAAAATGATATTTGGACTACGTTTATACTAGAGCAAAAGTTTTTCTAATAAAACACTCCTTGCTCGTTTATTAAATAGTACATAAGTTATTTCCTGTTGCCTAGCAGCATTAACAAATAACCACATCATCATATATAGACCTAACCTGAACTTCAGGCCCTATCACAGAATAGGGCCTGACACAAAACCTATCTAAACTTTGAGATTCCCGTCCACCTGGTGGACGGGAAATCTGATTGGTTGATCAGCATCATGAAGGATTTTGATTGGTTGCAAGGTCACATAAACAACAGTTTTAAAAATAGCTCGGTCAAGGCGAGAATTAATATAAAGGTCAAACGCACGTATAACAAATTCCATTATCGATTTCTTCGAATTTCTTTTCTTTTATGCTCTATGGCAGAAAATAAATCAAACAAACAGTATTTTGAAAGGGCTTCATCAAAATCTTTGACGACTTTTGGACACACACGACGCTGAAAGAACAGCCAAACTAGTCATGTATTCGAAAGCTTGTTGTTGACAGCCAAGATATTCTGCCAACTTGCTTCGCCGGCAAAAGTCTTATTTTTAATATCAGGTCCTACCGGCGTTGTTTTCTCAGCTACATCGCCTTCTTCGTGGTATGATTGAGAATTTAATTGTTGCTGTTATTAGCCCGTTAGTCGTTAGAGTATATCCGCGTCCAGCAAGTTGAGACCTTGAGAAAGCTTGGCAGCCAAGTCGTGCACAGAACTGACTAATTAAATCTTTGTTTGCTGTTCGCCTGTTCGGTTAAATAGAGAAACTGACTTTTAATTATATAAAAGTACCTTGAATTTTTAAGTTTAATTAAAAAGCAAAATGCTCTGCGGACATGTTCATGAGAATATAAATTTTTTGTGTAACGAAATCTACAACACTTGTCAATCATATTGCATGTGTGTCTAAAAATAACATGTGGGCGTCCCACGGTCTAGACAGGTTTTGTGTCAGGCCCTATTTCAAATTAGGGCCTGAACTTCAGGTTAATATAGACCCGGTAGTGTAACAACACAGTGCTAAAACGTTCCGTCGTTTAAACGTTGAAGCATTTCGAGAATTTCGACAGACGAAATGACGTTGTAAACGAAAAGTGGAGTAAACGATATTCTGTCTTTGCCTTCTTCAATTAAATCCGCGTAGATTTTGTCTTCTGAAGAGAGGAACAAAAATAAAGAAAGGTACAGTATAAGGGATATTTTTGTAACTTCTAGCAGCTCTGCAATCGTGCAAAAATTGTTTGTTTAAAAAATTTCAAAACATGCACATGAGAGATCTATATTTTACTATTAAAGAGGGCCGAGGTTTGCGTTATCTTGGAACACGAACACGCCGTGCAAGCCTTGCCCATTCCGAGAAAAGAGAGTGCAATATTGTTTTTAAAAGTAGAAGATTTCTGCAGTAATATACTGCTTAATTTCTTTACATGTAACGGTACGAATTAAATTTGGGTACAAGTATCAGAATTTTGTTGGCATTTCATTCGATTGAATAACAGTTGAAGGGTAAAAATTATATACAATTTATAAAATATACAATTTATTACAAAATATGTAAATTTTATATACATGCACTTATTAGAAATTTTATATAACTTATTAGAACAGCTGCGAACAGCATTAATTTTTTATTCATAACGGCAAGAGTTAAATTTATCTCTTTTTCGTTCAAGGATTCTGGCATAACTTTTTGTTCATCTCCTTCCGTGTATTGAAATTTAAGGTTCGAGTAATTTTTTCTCATAGTACCACATTGTAATTACAGCAGCACGTCATAACGTTAAATTAAGAGCCAAATATCCGCCATATATAGAAACACCATTGTTGCCCTATGATACCAATGGGTATTACTTATTAAATAATTTCATGGAAAATTGTACTCCTTAGCAACTGCTTTTGATACATAAGACAATAATTATATTTATTATACATTTTAGTTGGTAAAAGCAATTTGATTGGCTAAGAGCTTACAGTTAAATCGCGCAATCACGCAACCTACACAAAATTCAGTTATCTGCTAGCAGATAACTCAGTTATCTGCTAGCAGATAACTGAATTTTGTGTAGGTTGCGTGAAATTGAATGAGTGTACATTTCAAATGAGTGTAAATTTCATTTTTCAAATGAATGTACATTTCATAATTGTAATGTTTACTTTAACAAGTAGATATTTTAATACGTTAACATCTTAACGATAATATGTTTCTTTTATATTTGTAATTAATTTAACTGTTGGACTTCCGGAGACTTGTTTATAGAAACGTTTTACTTGAACAGCTTTGCCAGAAATCATATTGAATCATATAGTAATAAATTCTATGTTTATTATTCTTCAAATGTATAATAAAACAATTATTGAATTCGGTTTTTGCGATATGCAAAATTATCAAGGTCTCGGTAAGCGTTATCAGCCTCGCCTTCGGCTCGGCTGATAACGCTTACCTCGACCTTGATAATTCCGCATATCACAAAAACCTCATCCAATAATTGTTAATTATCACATACTTGTACCTTTATCAGGGCGATAACTGCAGCTAGGCCTATAGGGCGACATAAAAACGAAAGGATATGTCACTGAATGACCGATATCGTCGTTTTTTGTCACTGATATCGTTTTTGGTCACTGATATCGCCTTCTGACCCAATATTTGCATAATTGTTGCATGGGCAATGATTAATATTCTAATAAATTCTAATCCTGATAAATGCAGAAGTACAGTGGCGCCGTGGGACCCATATTTTTGGGGGGGCCAAGGGCAGTACTTTTCCGACAAACCGGAAAATAGTTTCCGACAGAAACGTCGCGAAATTTTTTTTTAACTGAAATTTTTTTGGGCGACCTGCCCCCCCCCCCTCACCAATTTTCTCCATTTATCCAAAATTTTCCGAATATACCAACGTCGGAAACTTTGACAATTTCCGACAACGTTGACAATTTTCCAAAAATTTCCGACAACATTCACAATTTTCCGACGGGTCTCCATTTTCCCCTGCCCCCCCCCGGCGCCACTGCAGAAGTATATAACAGTCATAACAAGTTATCATAATTTGAACGAGGATGTATATAATATAGATAATAAATTTATAGAATTGTATACCGTAGGTATTATTCAGTCCCTTTGTGTATTTTTAGAAGATCCATTCAGTCTGCCAGAATGAGAGGAAAAGACGAGTTACCGTTTTTAATCTTAGGAGTGCTGTTGTATACCGGTGATGTGATCTCCGATAGCTTTGTCGCCTATCAGTATTACAAAAGGGATCAATGGTGGTGGTTTGGCTTGACGTTGACTTTTGTAATTGTTCCTTTTGTTGTTATCAATATTGCAGCTCTCATCCAAACTAAGATTTTCTCTTCTGATGAAAACGATCCACCACGCGAGGGTCGATGTTTAAATTTAATGTGTCGCAGTTTGTTTTATTTTGGCTTGCCTATTATTTTTCGCTATTTGGAAGAATATTGGCAATGGAAATCCGCATATTGTGAAAATTTACCGTGCAGCCGGGAAAACTGCGAAGATAGTGACTGTGAAAGTTGCAAGTCACATCATAAGCAGAAGCGCAAGTTAGCCAAGTCAGCATATAAATTAGCCTGGTTACGCCATATTGAGACAGTAACTGAATCTATCCCGCAATGGTGTCTTCAAGTTTACATCATGTTACGTCAGTGGTATTTCCCGTGGTACACTTTGGTTTCAATTGTAGTTTCACTGTTATCCTCAGCTTGGAGTATCACAGCACTTGAAAAAGCACGACACAAAAAGAACGCGCCAAATGAATTAAAATGTATTTCTAAAGTTGTGTTATGGAATGCAATGTGTTATGGATGGCAAATGTTTGCTTTGACGTCCAGATTATCTGCGATTGTTTTCTGTGCTTATGTGTTGAGATTTTACGTGGTTGTTTTCATTGCAGCGCATTTTCTTATAGCCACACTGTATCACGATTTATGGTTTGGTAATGGATTTGGATGTTTAGACCTGGGTTGGTTTTTAGTTATACACTATTGCCTTTTTTTCCACGTCTCCGAGTCTTTACTGTGCAAATTTCACAAACAGGATAACTCCGAAAATCAGCACAATTTTCAAGATGTGGCGCGCCTGCGATCTGGGACCCTGAAGATAAACATTTCTCTTGCTTTTCGGAATATATTAATGCTGATTATATCCGTTATGGTTTCAGAGCCTGATATGCCACACATTGACGAAATTAAACGAATTGTAATACCATCTGTACCAATAGTAGGACTATTCGGAGTCCTGTTTTGTATTGGATACTTCATATGCGATTCCATTTCCAGGGCACAAGTTAGCCCAACAGACGCAATTCCTGAGCCTAATCCAGCTGTGCAGGTGGAAAACAGAGATGTTTAGACATTACATACTTAAACTGTGTCAGTTGTAGAGATAATAGCTACATGCATCGATGTTCGTATAGACTATTAAGATAGGATATTATGTATATATCCTCTCGGATACAGTTGACTATATAGTTTCACGTTGCTTTCTCTTAAGCATTATTTTCAATTTTATTATATATTATGTTAGCTTATATATATATTCAATATTTTGGGACGTGCATGGTTGTGTATATATATATATATTGCAGTAACTAGTAAGTTGGTATTGTTCATGAGGCCTGCTCTGGGACCTTAAATCGCCTTAAATCCCCCTAAATCGCTTTAAATCGCCTTAAATCGCTATGTCAAATTGGACAAATATATCTTAAATCGCTCTAAATCGCACTAAATCGCAACTTCATATTAGATGAATTTCTCTTAAATTGCATAATATTGGCAACAGAAAAAACAACAAAATTCAGCTTTTGGTTTTAAATCCATGCAAACCATCTCAACCATCCTTTGGCTTTACATATTATTAATTGTCGTTATCAATCACTTAGCGCAATATCCATGAACATGCCGAATCATTTTTACGTGGTAGAGGAATTGCAAAAATTGTGGTCGTCGTGCTTTTGGCTACGAAAATAATAGCAAAATCCTAACGACAAGAATAATGTATGTAAACGCGAAAATTAGAAATTTCAGTCGCACTTGCTAAATTTCACTAATTCTTTCCCTAACAGATCTTATGCATAATAAGATATTCACTTTTCACCCAATGGCCTCGTTTTCGTGTTGGGTATTTACTCACATTTCATGTGCACTAGGGTTTAAAATATAACCTGATGATTGAGTTTACGCTCAACAACGACAAATTCATGCAGAAAAAGTGGCAACATAATCTTTATGTGCGCTTTCCAAACTAAAATAAGCAAACATGAAAACGAGGCCATTGGGTAAAAAGTAAATAATCGGTAAGGTCTGGTAGTCGTGCCTGAGAACTCACCAACGAAGAAATATTCCGCTCCGCGCGTAAAGTTCCGCCTAATGGAAAATAGACTTTATATAAACTTGTGTTACCGGATTGAAGCGGATTCTGACGTTCACAAATGGACTGTTCAAAAATTGAGAGTAGCTAGGAAACACCAATTTTAATTTGCTATGTTTTTGTATTTTTGAAAGAATACAATATTTTAAACAGAAGTTATACTATAAAGTCCAGAAAAGTTTTTCTTATCTAAACTAAGTGTTCATAAATTCATAATCATGCTCCCACGCAATTGAGGATTCCCCTTATTACGTTTTCTTAGCGCTTTGCATTGTGGTTATAGTAGTATCACTTATAAAGATAGCGGCCTGGAATAAAAATATTGAATGTTTTCGCGAATATTTTGCTGTTGGCTATCGTGCACCTGACCCTAGCTTTTTTAAAAAATTCTTGCACGGGTCAGGACAAAAATAAGCCATCTTGAATATCAGTGATACCACTATAACCATAATGCAAAACCCTACGAAAACGTGATAAGGGGAGTCTAGTATTCATTCAGGGAAATAGATGCTATATAATTAACTCAATGATGCCAACAAACTATATTAAACGGCCCCTTTAACAATGCCGCGGGCCAGGACTGCTGCCCTGACCATTGGTTTTGAAGTGATGATTGACGGATCTTTAAACAAACCGGGAACGAGTTCTGCCACACTGTCAAGCTGCTGCTCTGTGATGAAATTATTAGCCTTTCATGCTTCTAATCTTTTTACAGCAATGTCCCTTGCAGATGGTAATGCACTGCATTTGCAGTTCTTGATATGGGCTATTACTTCTTGGGGTTGATTCATTTTTGGCAGAACTCTTATTTCATCACAAAGAGGGCACACAATTTGAAATGGGTTTAGTAAGTACTGTTTACTCCCCCATGCTTTTTCGAGACCACTTTGCACTTTATCAAATTCTAGCAGAAATCTAGGATCGCATTCAATTATATCCGAGCATTTCGTACTCCATATGGCATTAATGCACCCTCTTTTTCTTCTCCCCTGGTCATCATGCAGACCCATTTCCCGCTTTATTTCTTCTGAAACAACTTCTTTCTTCCGAATATTGCGGTTGCCTATTTACATGGTTATTCCTCTTGACGATTGAGATTTAAGTTCCACTTTCATTTTGGAAAAGTTTGGAAGCAAACGATATGCAGTGGAAAACCCCTCGTTATCTTCACCCTCGATCTCAATTTGCATGTCCTGGCTTTGCGGAAGACTGTACGTAATTGAAAAGTATCCTACCTTCAATTTGAAAAGTTTAGCAACCTTTTCTATCAACTCTTTAGTTGTCATATTCTTTTGTACTGATATTAATTTGTACATTTTGGAACTTGATGTTTCTAAACTCCACATCTTACTATCGGGAAGAGCTACAAAGTAGATAATTAAAGGTTTTAGTTTCAGCTGCAAATGTTTTGATTTCGTTTGATGCAGCTAATGCACTGGTTTTAGTTGAATTGTTATGGCTACAGCCATGCTAATCGGTTTTCATAACGTTTTCATATTGTTCGTCGTTACGAAAACACAACGAAAACGGATAAGTATGGACGTGGCCTATATATTTAAGGAGGCTCCCTAGTCCCTACAGTTTCCAATATATGTCAGTGTTTTAAACTAAAAGCTATTTGAATCTAAAAAACTAATTTTTTGCACAACTCATTGTTTCCTCTTATATAAAAGCGTGATTTTAACACACATTCGCTACTCTTCACGTTACCATAACAACATGACGTCACCATCTATATGGCGTATATCAACCAAAAGTGCCGTCTTAGCGGAAAAATAACCACGGTGACCTACCTTTCTTATTGCAGAAAATACATTGTTATGAAGTTTTGAATCTTTTTTGAAAGTTATTTGAAAATCGCCAGTGTAGTTTTTGAGATACTGAATTTCAGCCTTTAAAGATTACATTTTAGCCTTTGGAAAGGCTGAAATTCAGTATCTCGAAAACTACACTGGCGATTTTCAAATAACTTTCAAAAAAGATTCAAAACTTTATAACAATGTATTTTCTGCAATAAAAAAGGTAGGTCACCGTGGTTTTTTGTCCGCTAAGATGACTCTTTTGGTTGATATACGCCATATAGATGGTGACGTCATGTTGTCATCGTAACGTGAAGAGTAGCAATTGTGGGTTAAAATCACTCTTTTACATAAGAGGAAACAATAGCTTGTGCAAAAAAATTAGTTTTTTAGATTCAAATAGCTTTTAGTTTAAAACACTGACATATTTTGGAAACTGTAGGGAGCCTCCTTAAGTCGAGATAAAATCGCGTGGTACCGTAACATTTCATTCAGTCGATGTTAAATTTCGCGCACCATGACTACAATATTTTCGTGAGGTAAGCGAGATTAAAACTGTGAGAAAATAGTATAGTCCGGGTGCGTTTAAGACTGAATGAAAATTACATTTTTAGTCCAATTAAGCAAGGTATAATAATTCAACTAACATCCCATGAGCAGCGTTCCGTTCTTCCACACTAATACACGGTAGTTCTCCCAGCAAAAGGAATGTTTGCGCGTTTGCGATAGACAGATTTATAGACCACTTCCGACTAACACGCTCTTGACTAACACTTGGTCGAGGCTCAGTGCTAAAATCGGCAATACTAAAACAGTAAAACCACATAAAACATTACAGTTTTACACGAAGCCTCGTTTTCGTGATAGTATCTGTGTCAATGAAACCTAAATCGGAAGTGATCTACCTTTATACTTTGGTCTTTGACTTTGAGTAGAATGTGTTGTTTGAACTTTGGGAAAGTATATTTCGTAACTATTAAACAGTATAAACTTACGTTTTTCATTGTCTTCTACGAAGCCGAGTGATCTGGCCGGTGGCGTTGATTTCTGAGGCTGAGATGGTTTATCTGTACTAACAGAGGCCGCCAGCTGTGAAGCGTTTTTTGATTCTTCAACTATACCACCATTCTGACTGGAACTCGATGATTTTCGCCTGCGCCGACTGCACTGTCTTGACCGGCTGCGCTGTCTTGACCGGTTGCGCTGTCTTGACTGGTTGCGCTGTCTTGACCGGCTGCGCTGTCTTGACCGGCTGTGCTGTCTTGACCGACTGCGCTGTCTTGACCGGTTGCGCTGTCTTGACCGACTGCGCTGTCTTGACCGACTGCGCTGTCTTGACCGACTGCGCTGTCTTGACCGACTGCGTGAACGAGTCCTAGATCGTGATTTCTTCCGAGAACGGCGACTACTTTGGCCACGTGTCTTCTTTTTCTGTTCTATGAGGCTTTGTGAACGATATCTGCGACTCCCCTTCGGGTTTTCATCTTCGCTGTGCCTATTTAATTTGGTAATAAGTAATAGTATCAATGGAAAATATACGCAGATAGCATGAAAAGATTGAATTTGACACTATAAAATTGTTAAAATGACAAAATCCATAATATAATTACCTAGATGAATCTGTTGTTTCACTGACACTTGAATTTCTCTGTTGTCGATAGCTTTTGCCGCTACTTTTGCTGCGCCTACGATGGCGACCTTCCTTTTCGTGCGCTGACGAACTCGACGAATCATTGTCCGAACTCATTTCACGCAGTAATTTCGCTCATTTATAGCGTTCTCACATGACTTGTACGCTATAAACTCTAAAAGCACTGCCCAGCGCTGTAAGATTAATGATTTTTAATACAATGCTGTTCTGGTTTCTGCAATGACTGATGACAATGTATCATATGACACGCGCTGTGGGCACGCGTCATATGATACCTTGTAATATTCAATCATACAGGCAATGAAATATTCTGCTTGTGTGATGTTAATACTCTGAGTGTATATCCACACCGGGAAGGCTTGAAAAATATGCCTGGCCACGGTGGAAAATATTGAAATAAAATGAAATATTCAATCATATCGACAATGAAATATTCTATCGCTCATTTTCTTTTTACTTCTTTTAGTGTTTAGGAACATACTCTATCGAATACTCTACATAGTGCTCTACAATAACTTTATACGAGTGTTTTTCTCTCTCATTTTAGCGCCATTTTTCACCGTTTGAGTGTGTCGTTTATATTTTTCCCCTTGAGAGACAGCTTGAACCAATTAATTAAAACGACAAGAGCGAACCGCTCGGGTATCCGAGCCAGCTCCTTTTAGGCGAGAGATGCCGCCTTTGTTAGCGCTAGTATTCCCTAATAAATTTCATCTTGCGTTTACTTGAGAACCGACCTGGCTTAGCTACACCACCTCGATTAACTGTGGCTACACCGTAGGCTAAGCTCCCGATCAGCGACCGGGCTGGAAATTTATCCCATAAGCGGGCTGCGTGCTATTGCTATGTTACGGGAATATATTGTTTTAAATAAGATTTCTCGACAGATCTCTATCCTAACAGGTCTCCGTAAACGATTTTTGTCAGTGACGTATATAATTAAACCTTATATCCACACTGATCCCGCTGCACTGCCAGTATATCCTTAAATGTATATAATAAGAGTTACACTAAGTCTCACAGATTTTCGGTTTCAAACCGCTGGTCTTCATGGCGTCGAGTGTCGAGTTTATTGAGCGATTTTATCTGGTTTACTCGACGTTTTTACTGTAAAAGTTTTTATAATATTTTGATGTTATCAGTTTGTTTTTATCCTGAAAATGCAAAAGATCTTTAATGGCTTTGAATTTTATTTTGTGCCAAAGAAACAAATTCGTACTCAAGTTGAGATATTAAAGAAAAGAATAGAGGAACGTGGAGGGGCTGTCAGCAGCGTGCAACAGGAAACAACAACTCACGTTGTTCTAGCTAGAGGAGTACGTCGCGAAAATTATATTCCAAATCCGGATTGTACACCAAGACAAATCCATATACGTGTCGATTGGATAGCTGAATGTCTGAAGAATGGTTCTCTGGTTCCATATTACGGCTTCCAATTGGTAAGTGTATTTTAAATATTTTGCGTTATCTGTGTATTAAAAAACAAGACAGTATATACACTATAAATATGCGTTTATATAAGTAGGATTTGAATATCGTAACTTTGATTTTTCTTTTTCAACTTTCAGCAAATCTCAAGAGAGGGTGGAACACCTGATGAAGTACCAGAACCTGAAGTAGCATCCAAAAGGCAGAAAACAAACCCAGAAGGTAACCTTTAGTTAATGGAATGCATCTACCCTGAATTATCTATGCTATATTCATGCTTTATTTCCATCCGACAAGATGAAAGAATATTTTGTGTGTGTTGGTGTTATGTACTCAAGTGAATATGATGTTTGTGATGTTATTCTTACTGAATAAGTGTGCATCCTCACCGGGCAAGCTGAAAAGTTAGCTTGGCCACGGTAGGAATCGAACCCACGACCTTTGGGATAATAGTCCAATCACAAACATCATATCCACCGGAGTACATAACACCAACACACACAAAATAATCATATCATAGACTACACTGATATCGAAGGAACTACACTCAGTTCCGAAATATTACCCAACTCGAACCGACTTGACCACGTAACTCAGTTGGACTAGTATCCGAAAGGTCGTGGGTTTGATTCCCACCGTGGCCAACCTAACTTTTCAGCTTGCCCGGTGAGGATGCAGACTTCACAAACATCAAGATGAAAGAAACCTACTAAAATCGGATTTGACAAATCGGATAGTGTGAACGGGCCTGTAACCCTTTATAAAATAACCAGTAATTTAACTTTTCCCTACAAGTTCTTTGTAGAATAAACCATATATTCCTTTGACAATTTGCAGAACTCATGGTTGCTTTGACTGGGCTGTCAAAGTTTAAAGAAGCAGTTGAAAATGTAAAAGAATTGTTGAATGAGACGTCACCACTGAATGGTAATTTGAGACGAATTATTGTGAATGTTCCAGACAGAGTACCAGAAGAAGGCATTGGTGTATTTTTAATCAACAAAAGGACTGCAGAGAAACAGGTTGGATGGATTCCAAAATCAAAGATAAGTGCAATAGAGGACATGTGTACGAGAGGGTCTATTAATATTACTGGACTGAATGCCAGAATATTTAACTATAGGGAGAAACAAGTTTCTGAACAATTTACTAGAAGAGATCTCTCTGTACTAATTTCATATCCTAATGTTTGATTTAATTCTGATAAAGGTAGAAATTTATATATTTATTGGCCTTTGTTAATTTGGTGAAAGGGTAATAGTTGGCATTATTAATTAAATTATATAGACATTCATAATATGCCTGTGATTTTTCGTGTTAATGACTTTGGTTTTTTTTTCTAATTGTGCCTCTTTAAATTTGACTTTTTTCTTAAATTGCTTTAATTAAATTGGTTTAAATCACATACGTCACTTAAAAAGTTCACTTTTACCTTAAATCTCTTTAAATCGCATGACTTCAAAAAGTCAATTTTTTCTTAAATCGCCCTAAATCGCACTGCTTAAAAACTCCATTTTTTCCTTGAATCGCACTAAATCGCAGCGATTTAAAGTCCCAGAGCAGGCCTTTATAGCCCGACTAAAATAGAAATACAAAGTAAGAGACAACGATCGCCGATGGCGATGCACAGGAACAATTGTATGAAATATAAACTCGATATAAGACTGCTAATTAAGTGCTAACTATGCTTTTGTAAGAACAGAGTAGACCAGACAAAGTACTAACTAAATGCGGTGCTTTACAAATAAAACTTTCATGCGATTCCGCCTACAAGGCACAAGCTGTGCTACATGTAAAGGTTTATACATAAAGCATATGGCATACTGAGTATGGCAGAAAATGTTTTCGATATAGTGGGGTTAAAATCTGGAATAGCATTCCTGAACAAGTAAGAAACAGCGAATCTTTAAATTCTTTCAATAGAAATATTTCCTCTGTTAGTCTGACGAATTAGCTATTTGAG